CGCAGTCGTCGACGAAGGCACCCTCGACATCGTCGGCGTCGTCAGAGGAAGATGAGAGGATGCCATGGGCCACTGGGGAGCATACCACAAGAGCTCCAGGGAGCTGCCAGCGAGTTGGTTTATGGGGATCTGTGGGCGCTCGAGGAAGATGCAGTGCGGGAAGTGGCTGGGACAATCATGCAGCGATCTGGACCAGGAAGAGGAGGAGGAGGCAGAGGAGCAGGAAGAGCCGAAGGAGAAGCAGGAGAGAGAGGCGGGGAACATACCTGGGCAGAGGACAAAAGGGGAGCCCCACGGTCGGCAACTCTTGCCTCGCGTGCCGCGGCGGCGGCCCTGGCGAGACGCCGTCCTCTGCAGGCCGATCGCGCGCCGCTCCGCTCCGCAGGGCGGGAGGCTGGCACGGGCTCTCGACGTTGCTGTCGGGGACCAGGGCGTGGGCGGTGTGTCGCGCCGAAGTGTTCTGTGGGCCAGAGCCCGCGGCGCGACACCATCGCATCGCTGACGATCGCGACGCTGTCATGCCCAGACCGCATCCAGCGCTGACCTGCCGCCAGCTGAAGCCTCAGGCGCGTCTTGACCGCGGCGTGCCCCAGGCGAGGACAGGTTCGTCGTGCTCGTCGCGCTCTGCGCACGGTGCACCAGCAGTTGACCGTCAAGAGCACCCTGGCGGTGCCCGCCAGGAGCAATGCCGCAGGTCATGCGGCGCAGCAGAAACATGCGGTTGTCTTGCTCCTCTGGTCGTCCTCCTCCAGGCCAAAGACTTCTCAGTCAAATTCGCACGCTTGGTGCCATTTGCATTTGCGCCCTGAGCACGGGCCTTCTGGACGGTGCGCTCTAGAGCGATACGAGAGAGTGCTTGGTTTTCCCGGCTGGCCGTACTAGTACGCCGAAGTACGCCTACTAGTACGACCCGGCGAATCGTACTAGTACGCCGAAGTACGCCTACTAGTACGACCCGGCGGGTCGTTCTAGTACGGCTAAGTACGCCTACTAGTACGACCCGCGGCGGTCGGGAGGCGAACCCGTAGGGCCGAAGTACGCCTACTAGTACGACTCCGCGGGTCGTACTAGTACGGCTAAGTACGCCTACTAGTACGACCCGCGGCGCTCGGGCGGCGTACTAGTACGCCGAAGTACGCCTACTAGTACGACCCGGCGAGTCGTACTAGTACGCCGAAGTACGCCTACTAGTACGGAAAGGGACGGAAAGGACTGAAAGGGACTAAAAGGGTCTCAAGGGACTAAAGGGACTAAAAGGGACTAAAGGGACTAAAAGGGACAAAAAGGGACTCAAAG